AATATTGTTGGAGAGAATGCTGGAGGATGGAGCCCGTGGGTGGGGAAACCAAGACAAACACGCTGCCACTGAGTTGGTGCTGACGCAGAGTGACCCTACAGGGCATGGTAGAACTGCCCCTGTGGGTTTCCGAGACGATAATTCCTTACAGCAGTAGAAAGCCCCATCTTTCTTCCAAGGAGCAGCTGGTGGTTTCGAACTGCTGAGTTAAGGTCAGCAGCCCAACGAGTAACCACTATGCCACCAGGGCTCCTGACAATGTGACGGCGAGGAGCTGCTTTCTCAAAAGAGAGGGGCTGCAACAATGGACCCAGGCATGGGAGCCGTTGTGCAGGTGGCGCAGACCCTGGCAGTGGTTGTTATGCATAAGGCTGCTATGGGTCGGAACTGACTTGATGGCAAGTACCACCACCAACATTGTGTTTGTAGTCAGATGGGCCTCCGTGGAGAAAGTCTCTTGTCTGCACTCACCCGCTGGATGACCCTGAGCCAAGCGCCCTTGTGGGTCTGGACCTTCGGGTTTTTACCATGAAGCCGAGGCCCTGGTCAGCCAGCCTCGGGAGGCTGACGTGAGGACAGAGTGAAAGGTCATGACCCTTTTTCCAGTGCATCTCAAAGAGGATCGACTTCTCTTCCTCGCCCCAAATTCCCAAAGAGCAGCTTTCCTGGCCAGGCCAGAGCACCAGCTGGACAGTCTCGGTGCCCTTGGGTTTTAGCTGTTCTCTCTCTGTCCTCTGCTATCCGGCAGAACCAGTTCCAGAATCCTCTCTCAATTCTCTCACTTACTGGCCATGTGACCTTGGGGATGTCATTGGATCTCACCAGGCGTTTGCATCTTCATTGGTAACGTGATATTAATAGTAGTTAGGAGGCCTGGTGGCGCTGTGGGTTAGGAATTGGGCTGCTTGCTAACCACAAGATCGGTTGTTCAAACCCACCAGCTGCTCCCATGAAGACATACAGTCTCAGAAACCCTATATCTGGTCCCTCCTAGTCAGAATCAACCCAGTGGCAGTAGGGTAACAGTCCTAAGGAGTCCGAGGGGTGCAATGGTGCAAAAGCTTGGGTGTTAACCGGAAGGTTGGCAGTTCAAAGCCACCAGTGGTTTCGGGCAAGATCTAATGACCTGCTCCTGGAGAACTGACAGCTAGGAGGCGCTCTAGAACAGTTCTACTCTGTGCGGGTCTATGGTCAGCATTGACTTGGTAGCACCTCACCGCAATAGCACAGGCAGTTTCAGAGTCTACCATACTGGGGTGATCAGCCCCCTTCCTTTGGTTTACTGAGCTTGTCTCTCTCAAGCACTCAGGCTCTCCAAGGCCTGCAGTGGTCACAGTTGCTGTGAAGTTGGTCCTGATTCCCGGAGACACCGTGTCTGCAGAGACGAGCTGCACCTGGGTTTCCAAGGCTGCGAGTCAGGGGCTGATCTCAGGGCCAGGTACCTGTGGATGGGTTCCAACTGCCTTCCTTCCAGCCTTCTACCCTAGCCAGCTCCACTGAGGAGGGAAGAAAAATCCCAGCCCTTGTGGGGCTGACAACTGTGTTCTTGCTATAAAAAGAAATCATCAGCCAATGAGTCTCCAGTTGATTAAAAGATAGGATTCTTTTCAGTTCTTTGAATGGCGGGAACAGGGATCCCAAGCTCACCTCCCCGTATTTCCATTGGGGCAAACCGGGCGATTGCTACCCCATTTTTCATTCAGGTGAAAAAACGAAAGTCCCCTGGCAGCTTCTGCAGGGCAGTGAGTCCTTTCACGTGGCTCTTCCAGCCACCGTCTCGGCATTGCCCACCGAATGACCTTGTCCTGGTGGGTCTGGGTGAGGGCAGGTGGAGGAGAGTGCTGACGGCATTCAGTTGTGAGCGCTGGTTTCACAAGCTTCCTTGTGAGTGTCATCCCACTGCGTATTAAATGAACCCTCACTGGAACAGGCAGCAGCTTGTCCTGGATCTAGGGGACAGCTTTGACACAAAAGCAATGACCGAGGAGGAACAGCAGCACCACCAGGAACCAGAGCATGAGACAGAGCAGTGGACTTCCCAGTCCCCAGAGCAATGAAGGCCTAGTGCTTGGGGCTAGGAGGCTGGCTTGTGGAGTGAGGTGCCTCTGGGCACTTCATTCAGGGGCTGGGTGCTGTTGGGTTGCGGCTTACAGCAGAGAGGCATGCCCTTTGGGCATTAACTAGCAGCCCTAAAAGGACCTCTAACACATCCCAACGGAGCACTGTACCCTGAGCATTTCCCACCTGAATTGTAAATTGCTAACTTCCATAATCCACCTCTTCATTGTGAGCATTGCCTGTGAGTTCTGTGGGGCCCTTGCAATGAACTCTTGAACCCAGGCAAGAAGCAGAGAGCATAGTGGGAGGCAGAGCACCAGCCAATCATAACGGGGTGCCTTAGTTGCAGCGGAGTGAGTCTCTGGTGGCAAGAATGGTTAAGCGTCCAGCTACTAGCCAAAAGGTTATTGGCTCAACCCACCTCAAAAGGAAGGCCTGGCCACCTGCTTCCCCAAAGCCGTAGCCACGAGAACCCCACAGAGCAATTCTACTGGACATACGGGCCTCATTGTGGGTTGCGATGGACTCCAGGACACCTGGCTGCTTATTTGCAGACAGGCTTTCCCCTTAACGTTGATAACAAGCAGAGGCACAGGCACAAGGTCACGCACAAGCAGTCATTCCAGGGTTTTCTCAGAGGCTCTGCGAGGGATCTGAGATGGGATGATGCAGCCCTTCTCTTGCAAACAGCTTGCAGTCAGCTTGTGAGAACAACTAATCATTAGCACTGACTACCCATCCATTCGATTCTGATCCATAGCGGCCCTAAAGGGCAGGGCAGAACCACTCCTGTGGCTTTCCAGGACTACAACTGTTTATCAAAGTAGAAAGCCTCATCTTTCTTCTGGGGTCAGCTTCGAACTGCGCCTGGCAGTAAGCAGCCCGCTGTATAACCAGTATGCCACCCAGGCTCCCTATACTTGCTTCTTAATGCGGGCTGGTGGTGGTGGTGTTGGTGGTGGTGTTGGTGGTGGTGGTGTGTGTGTGTAGGGGGGAGGTTGGGTCATTCTCTGACTACATCATAAGGTTTCAAGTCTCCTAAGGTCTCAAAGAGCCCTGGTGGTGCAGCCCAAAAAGGCTGTTTGTACCCCCTAGGGGACAAAGAGGAGCCTGGTGGAGTAGTGGTTATGAATTGGGCTGCAAACCTGCAGGGCCAGCAGTTCAAAACCACCACCCTCTCCGTAGGAGAAAGACATAGCTTTCTACTCCAGGAAACAGTTACCATTTTGGAAACCCACAGGGACAGTTCTACCCTGTCCTATAGGGTTGCCATGAGTCATAACTCAATGGCAATGAATTTGGTTCTTTTGTGGGGTAGGGGGTAAAGAGAGAAAAACTGAGATGAGTCCTGTCCTAGTGACACAGTGGGTAACCGCAGCTCGAAACCAAAAGATGAGGCTTTCTATCCCGCTCAAGATTTACAGTCTGAGAAACCCACAGGGGGACCCGTAGGGTCACTGATGGATTCAATGGCGGTGGGTTTGGAATCTGGTTTGGGGGGATGAGGCAGTCGGCATGGTGCAGATTACTCAAAATCCAGCTCACTGCCACCAACTCCATCAATGGTAACCCTTTTTTAAAAATAGTTGTTCATCTTGTTTTGAACTTCAGATCCCTTCATACAGAATTTCAAAGGGTCCACACCACATGACTTTTACTACTTATACGTATAGCAGCGGTTCTCAACCTGTGGGTCGCCACTCCTTTGGGGGTCGAACGACCCTTTCACAGGTGTCGCCTAAGACCATGGGAAAACACAAAGATTTCACAATATAGAATTACATATTGTTTTGTGATTAATCACTATGTTTTATTATGTTTAATTATGTTCAATTTTTGTTCTTTTAAAAAAATCATTTTATTGGGGGCTCATACAGCTCTTATCACAATCCATCCATCCATCCTCAAGCCCATTGTAAATTTGTTGCCATCATCATTCTCAAAACATTTGCTTTCTACTTCAGCCCTTGGTATCAGCTCATTTTTCCCCTCCCTCCCGGCCCCTCCTTCCCTCACAAACCCTTGATAATTTATCATTATTATTTTAACAATGTTTCAATTTGTAACAATGAACATACATCCTGCATATCAGATATTTACCTGACAATTCATAACAGTAGCAAAATGACAGTGATGAAATAGCAACGAAAATAATTTGATGGTTGGGGGTCACCGGAACATGAGGAACTGTATGAAAGGGTCACTCACGGCCTCAGGAAGGTTGAGAACCGCTGACGTAGAGCTTTAAATTTTGTCATTCCTTGAAATACAGTTATGGTCAGGATTTAAGAGATTATTCAGTGGTATCGCTGAACGCGCGCAGAAAGCGCTCTTTGTGGTTTCCAACAGCGGAGCCCAGTGCTAACAGCCCAAAGCCCAGCCACTGCGCCGCAGCCTTGCCAGCCCTGTGCAGCGTTCTCCTGTCCCGTGGGCGCGCTGAGTAGGAAGGGGGTTGTTTTTCGGGTTTTGTTTGTAGAGGGTCTCGGCCACCTCACCGGACAGGATGGGTTTGCAATGAGAGCTGAGAAGCGTGCTCTCTTTGAATACCGAAGGAATCGACTGGATCCCCCGGAATCACCCAGGGTAGCGACAGGGCGCGGCCCTTTTCTTCCAGGGTCCCGTCTGGGAAGGTCCCTGGCCCACGATCCCGCCCGGCTGGGGCGGGGGTACCCCACTACGGAGGTGGGCGCGCGACTGTGCGTAGGCAGCGGAAAGGACGTGCCCACCCAGCAGCGCCGGCCGCAGCGCAGCCACCCACCCAGTGACCTCCGCGCGCTCTCCAGCGCTCCGGCCGCCCCCGCCGCGAGGCCGCGCCCAGCTCCTAGCAACGCTTTCCATGGTAACCGGGCCTTGACGACGGTCCCGCCCTACTCCGCCCCGCCCGAGGCGCGACGGGGCCGCGTCACCACTGCGCGCCGGAAGTGACTGCCGCTGTCGGCAGCGACTCCGGAAGTACTGGCTGTGGGTAGTTGTGGCTGCTCGGAGTCCTAGTTTACGATGGGTTGCGACGGAGGAACTATCCCCAAGAGGCACGAACTGGTGAAGGGGCCCAAGAAGGTTGAGAAGGTGAGTGGCGTGGGCCTGATAGGCCGCGGGGGCAAGGGGCAGTGTGATCGCTGCAGGGAGGTTGGAAAGTTGAGCCCGCGAGTCTCCTCACAGCTGCGTTCGTCTTCCCTCTTCCCAGACATCGAAATTAACCACAGTAGTGACAGTGTAGGTCGGTCTAGTGCTTACATTTAATTACATTAATTACATTGCAACGTGGGGTGGCTCATTTAATCCCAACAACAATAGGGCAGGTACTGTCATAGACCCCATTGTTCAGATGTGGAAACGGACGATCCAACAGGGAAAGACGTCGGGATTAGACTAGCCTTTAGTATTTTGTAATACAAAAAAATTATGATACAAGAAACTGTATCGAGCTTTTCACACACTCCATTTTCTTTTTCTTTTTAAAATTTTACCGGGGGCTCATATAACTCATCACAATCCATACATACATCAATTGTATAAAGCACATTTGTACATTCGTTACCTTCATCATTCTCAAAACATTTGCTCTCCAC